TCAATGAGTATATGCCACAGATTTCTTGTGTAGCACAATTCTCGGTCTCAATTTTGCCGACCTAGATCTGGCTGGTATTCAGTCCGACACGACCCCCAGCAGCGTTAATCAGGTCGACGCTTGAGACAAGAATGGAATTAAAGATTGTTGTCCAGATTCATAGTTTTACCGTTGTGGGGAGAAACATGAAGCTTCAGCCTGACGATTTAGAGATGCTCAGTGTTTTAAATGCGGATGACAAGGGCACTCAGCCAGTGTGTCATGGCGAGAAAAGGCAAAAGAAAACGACGGGCAAAGGAACTGATTCTGGAACGCAAGAAGGTAAACATACCGGTTCATGAGACAGTAAGCTAGCAAAGGGGAAGAAGCAGCCTACACATTTCGTGGACGAAGTTTCTGGGGAAGGTGTTTATGCCATGACAATGTACCACATTCACGGACAAAGCAAATCCAAGACATTCAAAGTGACTGTGGAACTTTGTGGTGAACCACACAAATTGGAGATAGACACTGGTGCGACCAGCACCGTGTTGAATGAACAAATGTACAAGTTATGTGACAAATTGGAATTGAAGAGTTCAAAGGCCGCATTAAGCACATACACAGGAGAGAAAATACCAGTGTCTGGTGAAGTACTGATTCCTGTCAAGTACCAGAATCAACAGCATAATTTACCAGCCATGGTGAGGAGTCCTGGACCCAATTTACTTGGAAGGGACTGGCTTCAAGTGATTACGCTTAACTGGAACAGTATTTTCAACATCCAGGAGGGCAACTGTCAGCTGCAGAAGATCCTAGATGCACACAAGGACACTATTGGCAAAGGACTGGGCACACTGAAGGGCACAGAAGCCAAAATCTCTGTTGACCCAAGTGCTCCACTCAAGTTCATGAAGGCTCGTCCTGTACCGTATGCACTCAAAATGAAAGTCAAAAAGGAACTGGATCAATTGCAGAGCGAAGGCATAATATCTCTGGTAGTGTTCACAGAGTGGGCGGCACCTATAGTTCCAGTGGTGAAAAGAGACGGATCAGTGCATATTTGTAGCAACCATAAGTGTACTTTTAACCAAGTCTCAAAGTTGGATAATTATCCAATCCCCAAGACTGAGGACTTGCTTGCCACACTAGGTGGAGGAAATAAATTCACCAAGCTGGATATGTCACAGGCATACCAACAGTTATTATTAGATGAGGAATTGAAGAAATTCACTACAATCAACACTCACAAGGGACTCTATCAATATAATAGACTACCCTTTGGGGTTTCGTCAGCACCTGGAATTTTCCAACATACAATGGAGAATTTATTGCAAGGCATCCCCTATGTTGTCATGCAAGTTGATGACATCTTAGTCAGCAGCAAGGATGACCCAGATCATCTAGCCAACCTAGAAGCAGTGCTTAGTCAGCTCTTCACAGCAGGATTAAAGCTACATTTGGCAAAATGTCTGTTCGTGTAACCTGAAGTCATGTACTGTGGGTACATAATCAGTGGCAAGCTTTCCTGGGCATGCTCAATTATTACCATAGATTCTTACTTGATGTAGCAACCATCCTGGAGCCTTTACACCAGCTCTTAAGGAATGGATCAACATGGCAGTGGCAAAAGGAACAACAGGAGGCCTTTGCAAAATCTAAGGAGCTGTTGCAGTGAGTTGAGCTACTAGTACATTTTGACCCAGCCAAGGAACTTGTACTTGCCACTGATGTTTCCGATTATGGTGTGTTTATCCCACAAACTGGAAGGAAAAACTGAATGTCCAATAGGATACATGTCCAGATCTCTAAACGGAGCTGAAAGAAATTATTCGACCTTAGAGAAGGACATGCTAGCCATAATCTTTGGAGTTAGGAAGTTCCATCAGTTTCTTTATGGACACTCATTCACTATCAAGACGGATCATAAACCTTTGGAGGGTTTGTTGAATGAGAAGAAAGAGATTCCAGCGCTTGCTGCATCGTGAACCCAGTGATGGGCACTGACTTTGTCTGCTTACGAGTACAAGATATCATACAAGGCTGGTCAGACCAATGGTAATGCAGATGGCTTAAGTAGGCTACGCTTGCCTGAGATGCCCGAGTCAGTCCCAGTTCCTGGTGAAACAATCTTGTTAATGGAACATTTGGAAGGTACACCTGTACATAGTAGCCACATCAAAGAGTGGACCAAGAGGGATCCAGTCCTCTCGCAGGTGCTACGCTTCATCTTAGAAGGATGGCCAACCAAAAACAACTCTGAAGAGCTAAATCCTTACTTCACCAAGCAAAGTGAATTAAGCGTAGAAGATGGCTGTGTACTTTGGGGTGCCAGAGTGGTTGTACCCCGACAAGGAAGATCGAAAATACTCACTGAGCTGCATGAGGCCCACCCGAGCGAATCACAAATGAAAGCGTTGGCACAAAGCTATGTATGGTGGCCAGGCATGGATCAGGAGATTGTGAAGAAAGTGATGGGCTGGGACGAATGTCAGTCAAACCAGAGTGCACCCACAGAAGCACCATTACACCCCTGGGAGTGGGCAGGACTCCCCTGGTCAAGAATTCACATTGACTATGCAGGGCCTTACAAAAAAGAAATGTTCCTTGTAGTCATGGATGCATACTCGAAGTGTTTGGAAATGCATCGCATGAAGTCTATCACATCAACTGCCACAAATGAAAAGCTGACAGAGATGTTTGTTACACATGGCCTACTAACAACACTCGTTAGCGACAATGGTAGCAATTTTACCAGCTCAGAATTCCAGGAGTTCATGAAGAATGGAATCAAACACATCAAAGTGGCACCTTATCATCCTGCCTAAAATGGCTTGGCAGAGAGGGCTGTGCGAATCTTTAAAGAAGGCTATGAGAAGATGGAGAATGGAAGTGTCCAAACAAAGTTATCACAATTCCTCCTTAGTTACTGCACCACCCCTCATAGTACGACCGGAGTTCCACCAGCAGAAGTATTCATGAATCAGAGATTGCACACACAGCTGAATCAGCTTGTTCCAAGCATAGCAAATCGCGTTAGGAATAAACAGTCCCAGCAGAAAGCAGCACATGATTACCATGCTAAGGAGACGGAGATTCTAGAGAGCCAGACTGTTTATGTCAAGGATTTCTGGAACAAGAAGGCCTGGACGCCAGGGACTGTCATGGAGAAAACTGGTCCAGTGTCAGCTCACGTTCAGCTGGACAACGGGACAGTCATCTGGCAGCACTAAGACCATGTTCGAAGCCATGAGAATGATGTGGCGGAGGAGCCAGTTACAAGTGTGACACCCAGTGTGACACTGTTGGTCTTGCCTGAATGTGATGCAACACCACCCACCCCTGGTGTTTGTGACCAACTTGAGGTTCCTTAGTCTCCACCGGCATCACCTACTCAGACACCCATTAAAACAAGTTCTCTGGGGACACACCCTGTGCGGAAAAGGGCCAGACCTGGAAACCTGAAAGACTACCTGTGTGAATCGTGACTTTATCACAGGGACTGTGGTTGAAAGAGAGGACAAATAGTTTTTGATTTAGTTGTTCCAATTTACATGAGGAGTTTATGGATGAATAACATGTAATTCTAGAGGGGAGGAATGTTGTGATTGGCATTTCTCCATGACCATGTGATGTACATGTATTCACGCTTTACTGAATTAATGAGTGTATGTTTGGATTCACTTGTGGCTGGTCATTACAGTTAGAATTATATTGTAACTCACATACCTTTCCGTTTATCAGTACCCCACATTCTATTTTGTGTTAAATCGTACTGTAGCTTGAAATTTATGTCAATTGTCGTCCGAGGGCCGTCCGAGGACTGAAATTTTAGGCTAGTAGCAAACTTCCCCAACTCCGTCCAGGAAAAGTTTTTCACTTGCATCACGTGTGAATTGCACGCGCAACAATTTGTGGTGTTGTGGCACGAACATATTTCTGCTCTTGAACAAACTCGCTCGTCTACTGTTTGTGAAGTATTTTTAATGATAGTAAAGCATGTTTCCTTAAAATAATTTGTGCCTGGAGATTACTTTGTTTATATCAACAGAATTTGGTCAGAAATGTTTCTGGATTGGCGTTGCATACGATGACTTCGATTAAACAAACATGGACAGAATGTTGTTTTTGTTTTCTTGACAATTTGACATAGAGACAATTTCTAACCGTAAGTAGTTATTCGCTTGCTTTGAATTATATTATCTATATCCAGTTCACAGATGATTAATTAGAATCATTGTTATTGCTTTCAAGTGCTTATGGTGCGATATAATTTTCACTCTTTAGCTGATCGCATGCTAAGTCAGTGACCCTTCGATTGAAAAGTTGAGTGCTTGAATTAAAAGTTTGGCTAACCATTCAAATGCTTGAGGTCATCCGTTTGAACACATGATGAGCTAACCACTCAAACGCTTCAAGTCATCCGTTCGAAAATTTTTGCTAGCCGTTTTAACGCTTGAAGTTATCCGTTCGAAAATTTTTGCCAGCCATTCTAACATTTCCAGTCATTTGTTCGAAAATTTTCGCTAACGGTTCGAATGCTTTGCCAAGCCGTTTGCTGAGATTCAGTAACCATTAAAACGTTTCTGGAAAACGTTTAAACGGTTTTAAAGGTGTTTACTATCTGTTTGTTATCCGTTTATCATCCGTTAATTTTAGCCTGTTTAACGGATAGGAGCTAATGCACGTTTTCCTGTGTAAGGTCACAAATGTGTTCAGTGCGGCTTCTGTAATGACAAAACACCAGGTTCAGATGGCCTCACGATCAAATTCTACCACCTCTTTTGGAGCTGTATTGGTAAGTATGTCGTTGACAGCTTCAACTACGCCTTTCATGAAGGCAGTTTGTCAATCTCTCAAAAGCTCAGCATCATTTCGCCAATACCTAAGAAAAATTAAAGTCTAGAACATTTAAACTGGAGACCCATCTCATTATTTGCTAAACAGACTATAAATCGCAACCAAAACGATAGCAGTACGTCTGGAAAAAGTTTTGCCCTCGATCATTCATCCGTGCCAAACAGGGTATATTAAAGGAAGATATATATGAGAATGTATTAGACTTATTTCAGACACGATGTTGTTTGCAAAGCAGAGAAATATCCCCAGTGCTGTGGTTTTTCTTGACTTCAAACAAGCATTCGATAACCTCCAAAAATGTTTAAAAGCTGGGTCGGCGTATTCTATCACAACATTTCTAGTTGTATTCTAAACAATGGTTTAACCAGTGAGCACTTTTGCATGCAGCGAAGTGTCAGACAAGGCTGTCTGCTGTCCAGCCTACTTTTTAAACTCGTGGATACGCGAAGCGTAGAAACGTGTTTCTTGCGGGGACTCCGATATGCAAATGTGT